CCCCAAAACCCCAAAACCCCAAAACCCCAAAACCCCTGAAAATTCAATAAAAATTGAAGGTGTGTTTATACATGGACGAGCACAAACTAAATACAGAATCACAAGAACTAACAGAGGACAATGAGTATCCTCAAGACAGCAACAAAAATGAGTCTTCTGATAGCGAACGCGAACAAGGTATGTTTACAACTATCACTCTTATTTACCTCCCTATAGAGGATGAAATACTGCACTCTGACATAATCGGAGACAAGAACCTCTACAACCATGGTGGGAAAGCAAAGCCAGGCTTCTGAGATTACGTCGGAGAGAAGAATATCTCATCAAACATGAAGACCAGCATCACTCACACACTAAACAAAGAAGAACAAAGTCGTGTAAGAAACAAAGATAAGTCAGATAAAGCAACAGTCGATCAAGTCCTTGACCCTCGAACTCTCGGTATTCTGAAGAAATGGCTGAAGAATAACACTCTCACTGAGATCTTTGGAAGTGTTTCGACTGGGAAAGAAGCCAACGTCTACTACGCTTACAGGAAACCAATGGAATTACCTGAAATCTCTGAGGCCGAGGAGCTAAAACCCATAGCTCATGCTGCGACAAAGAAGGAGAAGAGGGATTATAAAAAGATCATGAAAATGAAGCATGAGGAAAAAGAAGCGAAAGCTAGTATAAATTTCGACCATGAGAAGGAATTCGCAGTCAAGATCTTCAAAACCACAGTCCTCGTCTTTAGAGACAGGGAGAGGTATATTGAAGGAGAGCACAGGTTCAGAAACTCTAAGTTCAAAAATAACCCCTTTAAGATGGTCAAGCAGTGGGCTGAGAAGGAAATGAGGAATCTGAAGAGACTCAAAGCAGCTAATTTGTGCGTCCCTGAGCCTTACCTCCTGAAGAATAATATCATTGTCATGGAATTTATTGGCAACAATGGGAATGCAGCACCTAGACTAAAAGACGCAGGATTGACGGAGGAAGAAAATATTCTAGCATATTTTAATGTCTTAAAACTCATGAGAAAGATGTTACAAGATTGAAATCTTGTTCATGGAGATTTATCCGAATACAATATGCTCTATTTTAAAGACCAGCTCTACATCATTGATGTGAGTCAGTCAGTTGAGCTAGACCATCCGATGGCTCTAGATTTCCTCAGAAGAGATTGTGTAAATATAAATGACTACTTTGATAAGCAAAATATTCAGACTTTGACAACAGAAAAAGCATTTGACTTTATCACTGATACTAAAATTTCTTCAAAAGATATGGACTTCACTCTCAAAGCAATACTCGAACAGAACGAAGAAGAGATCAAGAGTATGACATTTGAAGAAAGAAGGAAGCGAGAGATGGATGATAAAGTATTCCAGCAGATGTACATACCTCGAAATCTCCAGTTGATGTCATTTGAAGATATAGATAAGCTAAATCAAAGTATCTCCACTTCTTCTAATTCTTCTAGACCAAGCTCCTGATGTCTTCATCGGTAAAACAGGAGACTCCTCTGCGCCCATAGTAACAAGGGAATTCCAAGGGATCGGTACTAGCCTTAAACAGACTTTACAGGAAGAAGCAGAGGGCGAAGAAACCGAAGAAGCTGAAAGTGAAGGCGAAGGTGAAGATTGAACAAGACAGGTATTTTCTGAGAGTAAAACTTTAGGCAAAGAAGAGAAAGTACGACCCCTTCGAAGGAATGAGCAAGAAGGAGAGAAAACAGAAGGTTAAGGAGGACAAGAGGGAAAAGAGGAAGACAAAGGTACCCAAGTATGTCAAGAAGAAAATGACCAAAAAGGGAGGAAATCGTAAATAAGTAGATGTTTTCAACCAATAGGGATATCTGAGGGGTTTTGGGGTTTTGGGGTTTTGGGG